CATTATTTCCCTGTCAATGTTCCCACCTTCATTAAAAGGCGTAAGATGACAACAATCAAATATCTTTTCTTGAATTATGAATAACACGAATGGATTGAAATATTTAATCAAATTATCTCAAAGTAAACCTTCATTTCGGTGCAATATTGAAATTAGCTTGAATTCTTCATAACCTCTGAATAGTGGTTGACCCAACGGGTCACGGTGGTCTAGTATGCTGTATAGGGTGTCCGAAAAGTTTGGAACCACAGGTGATATGTGGCTTTTCCTAATTTCAGATACGTGTCTGATTAAGTCGCTGTAAACCATGAGAAGTCGAGTTAACCCTGCTGAGTGACAGTTTAGGTTGGTGTCGGTGGAAGTTTGCTGTCGGACTTAATGCACGCCATCTATGGAGAGAAAAACATTACTCACAGTGCTGTTGGGAAGTTTAAGGAGATTGGCAGTGTGGACCATAGGCAACGACACTAATACGATTCGCAGAGAATGGAAATACAGTCTACAAACTTGTTTCGAATTACAAGGACAGCATGTAAGATTCATTAAAGAGCCTATGGTTCCAGACTTTTTGGACACCCTGTATTAATCTGCAGTATTGGTGCCACACATAATTCAGCATTGACCATATAAAGTGTACATATTTCAAACTAATTCACATGTTCTAGTGACGAATTATTAACGTTTCTTACATGATTTGTTGGTTTATTTTTGGAGACTAGAGGGGAGGCTACTCTAATTGGATAATTTGCTTTAACTCTTATAACGCGCTGCTTCAAAGCGCAGAGCGAGATTTTTTTTGTGGTAACGGGATGCAAACCTTAGATCCACAGTCTGGTACGCTAACCGCAAGGCCAAGCAAGGCCTTGCCACATGATTCATAGTAAAACTGCTCTAATATCGTGTTATAGCAAACCATAAGTAAATTTTATGTACAAAAGCATGGTTGTTATATATTAACACTTAGTGATTAGGGCACTCGATTCGTGATGTGCGTGTTCAAATCTCGTTACCGAACATGCTCGCTCTTTCAGGGTTATATGTGACTGTAAATTCCACTATTGGTTAGTAAAAGAGTAGTCTAGGAGTTGGCGGTAAGTGATGTTTATCTTTCCTTTAGTTTGTCACTGCTAAGTTAGAGACGCAGATAGCCCTCGAGCAGCTTTACACGGAATTAAGAAATCAACAAACGAACAAATATATATTAACACGTAAATATGTGTTCAGTGTGTTTCAGGAGAAGGTAATAAGAACACACAGGTCCAATATACTGTTAGTAAGTAGGGTACAGCTGAAAAGAAACATAAAAACAACTAGATACATGTTATGGTTAAATAAATTACACTGTTAGGTTTGAACAACAAATACTAGGTTTTTACTTGTTTTGAAGGAGAACCTTTGGTCCAATATATCAACATTCTGTCCTTACCTGCCCTTTAAATAATATACATTTTAATAAAATCCACTGAAGAAGCAGCTGGATATGAAAAATTAGTCTTTTACTGTAGTTTCATTGAATAGTTTTATATCGCTTTGAAGAGTGTAACATGAAACTATATAATGGCCCTACTAACATACCTTTTTTATACCCATCCTTATGAGTAACATGAAACTATATAATGGCCCTACCAACATACCCTTTTATACC